CTAATTCTTCTGAGTTGCAGGGGGAGCTGGAATCTATTCCAGAGGTCATTGGGCGGAAGGCAGGAAACATCCTGGACAGGCCGCCAGTCCATCACAGGGCAGAAAGACAGGCATATACATTCACACACACACTCACACCTAGGGGCAATTTAGCGTGTCCAATCGGCCTGACTGCATGTCTTTGGACTGTGGGAGGAAACCGGAGAACCCGGAGGAAACCCATGCAGACACGGGGAGAACATACAAACTCCACACAGAAAGGACCCTCATGGCCCGGCTGGCTGGGAACTGAGCCCAGGCCCTTCTTGCTGCGACGCGACAGTGCTACCCACTGCGCCACCATGCCGCCCCATTTTTGCAAATACAGTGTCTTTTACAATGATTTTACAACATTGTCAAAATGAGAAATCCGGGTCCGAGACCCAAATGAGCCAAGGGCGACAGCAAGAGCCAAAGGAAGAAACCTAGAGACACTCAAAAAGGGAACCCATCCTCCCCAGGTCCACATCAGACAGCAAAACAAGTACACAACTAGAGCAACATGAATAAAGAATAAAGCTTTGACAATTAATATACAAACCTGTTTCCAAAGAAGCCGGGACACTGTTCAAAATGTAAATAAGAACAGAATGCAATGATGTGCAAATCGTTTAAACTCTATATATAATTGGAAAGAGTACAAAGATGGCAAATCAAATGTTGAAACTGAGAAATTGTGTTGTTGTTTGCAAAACGTATAACCCATTTTGAATTTGTTGCCAGCAAGTTGCTTCAAAAAAGTTGGGACAGGGACAAGTTTACCATGTTTACTCATCAGACCACAGGACATTTTTTTTCACTTCGCTTCAGTCCGTCCAAAATGAGCATGGCCCAGAGAATGTGGCGGTGTTTCTTGATCCTAGAGTATAGATCCTATAGCTCCTGAGACTATAGTTCATGTATTGCCGCATAATTTATCAGCCCCCCTCTACATCACGCATCAATGGAAAAGGACCACCATATAATTAAAAAAAAACAAGGATAAGGGACAAGGGTAGTTGAGGGGAGAAAAGGACAGGGATAACCGGACATGATAAAGGACAGGGATAACAGAATGTGGGACACAACAGAGATAAGGATAAGGACATGGTGAAGGGCAAGGATAACAAAACGTGGTGAAGGGCAGGGAGAACAGGACACAGTAAAGGACAGGGATAACAGGACATGTTGAAGGACAGGGATAACCGGATGTGGTAAAGGACAGGGATAACAGGACACAGTAAAGGACAGGGATAACAGGACATGGTAAAGGACAGGGATGACAGGACGTGGTGAAGGACAGGGATGACAGGACGTGGTGAAGGACAGGGATAACAGGACATGGTGAACGACAGGGAGAACAGGATGTGGTGAAGGGCAGGGATGACAGGATGTGGTGAAGGACAGGGATTACAGGATGTGGTGAAGGACAGGGATGACAGGATGTGGTGAAGGACAGGGATGACAGGATGTGGTGAAGGACAGGGATGACAGGATGTGGTGAAGGACAGGGATGACAGGATGTGGTGAAGGACAGGGATGACAGGATGTGGTGAAGGACTGGGATGACAGGATGTGGTAAAGGACAGGGATAACAGAACAAGGTAAAGGATGGTAATAAAACAGGGACAGGATAGCAGAGAGAGGACAGGAAGGATAGGAGCGAGGGATGAGACAGAGAGGCAGTTTAGGGAGGAAGGGACTGAGCTGAGCTAATGGTTCAGCAGCGTGTTTCAGTGTATCGAAAGGCATTTCATAATCATAATCGGCAGCAGTATAATTGTGATTCCGGTTTGCTGTCCGTATCGCGCAGCTCCGCCGAGATTCCCTTTGATCTGAATATCAGTCTGTTCTTCTGGAGAGAAAATCCCTCCATTCCTCAGTTCACAGAGAGGCACGAGACAAAAGCGCTCTCCAAATCCACATCACTAATCTCTAGCTGTGGGTTATCCTTTCTCTCTCTTTCTCCCTCTCCCTCCCTCTCTCTCTATCTCTCTCCCTCTCTCTGTCCCTCTCTCTCTCCCTCTCTCTATCTCTCTCCCTCTCTCTCTGTTTCTCTCTATCTCTCTTTCTCTCTCTTTCTCTCTCTCTCTCTCTATCTCTCTCTCTCTCTCTCTCTCTCTCTCTCTGTTTCTCTCTCTCGCTCTCTCTCTCTCTCTCTCTATCTCCCTATCTCTGTTTCTCTCTCTCCCTCTGTCTCTCTCTCTCTCTCGCTCTGTGTTTTGCTCTCTATGTTGCTCTTTCTCTGTGTTTCTCTGTCTGTGTTTCTCTCTCTGTCTCCACCCCACTTTGTTTTCTCCCTCTTTCTCATCCTTTCTCTCTCTTCTCTCTCTATATCTTTCTTTCTTTCCTTTCTCTTTTTGCGCTCTCTCTCTCTCTCTATCTGTCTATATATCTCTACCCAATTTCTGTTTTCTCTTCTGTCTCTCTCCCCCTCTCTCTTTCTCTCTCTCTTTTTCTCTCCCTCCATCTCTGTCTTTTTGTCTCTCTCTATGTCTTTCTCTCTTTCTGTCTTTTTCTGTCTCTCTCACTCTCTCCCTGTCACACTCTCTCTCACTCTCTCTCTCTCTCTCTCTCTCTCCTTCACTCTGTTAAACCTCTCTCGTCCTCGTCAGAGTGGAGAGTGTAATTGGTCACAGTGCTCTGGTTAATCCTGTGTTATTGTTTTTTATTTGTGTGCAGATGCTGAGCCGCTGTGAGCCGTGAGGTTCCACACACAAACACGGCAGAATACACAATGAGGAGGCGCCCCAGATTCCCACCTGCAGGCAGCGCTGCATGAGGGAGAACCGCAGGGACAGAACCGGTTCCTGTTTAACCCTTTAAAAAGGCCCAGGCTTATTACAGCCTCAGGCTCATTATTCACTTACTAACAGACTACAGAGTGAACTGGTATTCACCTGGTAATACACGTTATTACCAGGTGACAAATGCTTGGACACACTGGGGGTTCCTGGACATTTGAGGGGTTAATGATATTGTGGCTGTCATTATCAGTTAGTTTAGTAGGAGAGTAATCTATCAACTATTGTGACATCTAATCAATCAGTAATCAGGGAGTGAAAAAGGTGAAGTAATGAAAAAGCACTAAACTGAACAATGAGTGTGTTTACATGCACTCAATAATCTGATCATAATCAGATTTCTGCAGTTATCTGATTATTCAAATGGTCATGTAAACAGCACACTCTAATTTCTTAGATTGGAGTAAAGTCTAGAAATCTGATTAAGAAATCTGATAAAGGAGCTGCATTTTAGTTTAGTAATCAGATTAAACTCTTACTCTGATTTCTTTCAGTCTGAGCATGTGCGAAACAGACTGCTGTACCAGAAATATGCGAGCAGAGTCGCCGCGAGACCCAGAAAAAAACTTTTGGAGCGACGCTGAAACCAAATACATGCTTGACGAAATGCAGGATTTGATTTATGTATGTTCATATTTTCAGATAAAGTGGTGCAATGTTTTTTAAAAAAAAGCTGCAGCATGAAGTTTGAGTTGTACGTTTATTGGCTGGTTGCAAAGCAGAAATCTGATTACTGTCTGACTCATGTAGACCCGGAGTTTCCCCATTATCCATGTAAATGGAAAAATCTGATTTTCTGCAGTTATCAGATTATTAAGTCGCTGTTGTCAGAACAAAACCTCGTATCTCCAAAATGGTAATTTTACAGGAGAAGGAAAAAACATACATTACTTTTAATGTAAGTCAATGGAACCAGAATGTTTTTCATAGTAATTTTGGGCCGTTTCTTTTGGTCCATTCATCAAATAATTTACACACAATATAAAGAACAACAGGCACTGAAAAACGACAAAAATGGAGATACAAGGTTTTGTCCTGACAGCAGCGAAGTGCGCACTCAATGACTTAGAATGACTTAGAACAATAATGAGTTTATACTTTAAACTAAAGCCTTCAAAACATTAAACTATGAATCAAAAACTTCATTTAAAATAAAAAAATTAAAATTAAAATAAAATGTGCTTTTCTATGGAGAACGCCTGTGTCAGCAGGTGCACCTTAAAGGACACTCTAAAAAAAGACAGTTCTTCAAAGGTTCTTTAGTAAAGATAACAGTTCTATGTTGAACCATAAACACTCAAAGAACCATGTGCATGCTTAAAGGGTTCTTTGCATGGTGAAATCGTTCTTGAGATTGATGGAGAATGTGTTGTAAATGGTTCTGTGTAGCACCAAACACAGTTCTGCTGTTTTTTCCGAAGTCAAACTTATAACAACAGAAGAACCCTTTTGGTGCTACATGGACCATTTTCAAAAAGGTTCTATGTAGAACCATGTACAATTTTGATAGAGAATGTGTTATATATGGTTCTATGTAGCACCAAAAAGGGTTCTGCTCTTTTTCCGAAGTCAAACTTATAACAACAGAAGAACCCTTTTTGGTGTTTCATAGACAATTTCAAAAAGGTTCTATGTAGAACCATGTACAAATATGAGAGAATATGTTGTATATGGTTCTAGATAGCATCAGAAAGGGTTCTTATATTGTTACAAGCTGTACAATGCATTCTTCATCAATCTGAGAACCATTGAAGCATGCAAACGGTTCTTTGAGTCTACATGGTTCTATATAGAATCACTGTCTTTACCAAAGAACCTTTGAAGAGCATCTTCAAGACTGTAGTTGTATTCAGTCATTAGAAGGACAGTACAGCATCATTCTGGAGGTCATAATGACCTTCAAACAGCGGCAGTGTAACTCTGGTATCTTCAGACTCTTGACGAATTTCAGGACCACAGACAGCAGCCAGAGGACCCTCGGTACCAAATGGCCTATTTTTCCCCTGGACTGTTTAGCTCCATTCTTTAATTGGAGGAGGGTAATTCAGCTCTCTGAGTAATAACTCACCCCTGAAAGAGCTGCACACCCTCAATCATCTCTCCGTCATTACTGTGGAGACACACTGAGCGCATTATCCTAATCATCAGGAGCGTTAGAGGGACGAGTGAGTCACTCACGGAGGTGTAGAGGTACCCCTCGCTGTTCATGCCCAGATACAGCCCCGTCTTCGCCCCCTGGATCGCCACTATCCGCAGACCCACAGGAATCAAGTTGAACTGTGCTGGAGAGAGAGGACACACAAACACACAGTCCTGTAAAACTATCTGTGTGGGGTATTTCCACTGATGTGTGTGATGCTTACAATCTGCACTTCCCACACAGTCGCGCCACTTCTGTTCTAAAGAGCTGAGCAAAGCAGCACCTAAACAGTACAGACAGGAAGAGGTAGATGGGTTATAAATTGAAAGCTTTTAAATGTTATTGTATAATATTAAACTATGTAAAAAATAATTATAATCATTATATAATTATATTACACATAAAAATAATTTTTCATTCTTTATCTACTATAGATTATTCAGTAACCACTATGAGTTATACAGTATTATGAATTATTCACTGTCTATTATGTATTATTCAATATCTACTAAGTGATATTCAGTATTTACTGTGAGTTATTTAATAACTGCTATGAATTATTCAGTATCTATTATACGTTATTCAGTGTCTATTACGAATTATTCAGTAACCACTGTGAATTATTTAGAAACTATTATGAATTATTTAGTATCTACTATAAATTATACAGTAACTACTATGAATTATTCAGTAACTATTATGAATTATTCAGTATCTGCTATGAATTATTCAGTATCTGCTATGAATTATTCAGTATCTACTATAAATTATATAGTTCCTACTCTATACTACTCAGCGTCTACTCTAAATTAACATTAATAGCAGAAATATTTAAGCTTAATAACTGAACAATAAGCTGCAGTTTGAGGGATTAAAAGCAGAAGCCAGAGGGTCAGTCAAACTCACACGGGGTGAAATGTTCATATGTGGGATAAAAAGTGAAGAAAAATCAGAACAGACAGACACATCAGCTTTAATCAAAGTGTCAAAGACTCCCTTCACCAGGGCTTTGAGTGGAGAGAGAGAGAGAGAGAGAGAGAGATAGAGAGAGACTGACAGAACAATATAGGCAGTAGGGGGAGGGGTGGCCAAGTGACCGTAGTGACCGGGCACCGTAGCACTTACTATCCACACAGGGGGTCTTAGACTAAATAGTCTAAGAGCTACTGCTTTCGATTGTATGAAGCTGAATATATGAGCGCGGTTCTCTCACTGGACAAGCACGACACGTGTGATGTCCCTCACCCTCTGAGAGGATGGAGTGATACGGATAGGCACAAACATCCGTGCCAAACAGCATTCTGATCAAACACTGTCAGAATCCGTCATCTTCAAAGCTCAGAGAAGAGCAATGCACTCTGAAAAAAAGTTTGATGGAGGACAAAGCAGCACGTTTCATTTTTCATCTTGTTTACAATGCAGAAGCAAAATTTTCCCCACAAATCAACCCTGTCATATAAAATCCTGTGACTCTGTTTTTAGTAAACACCAGATGCCCTTTACATCTGTGAACATTTTGCAATGGACCAATAGAAATGGTCCATTTCTATTCCAAATGATTTGGAATAAAATCTCATACTTGCATTTACACTCACTGGCCACTTCATTAGAAACCACCTACTTTGTGCTTCCACTCACTGGCCACTTTATTGGAAACAGCTACCTTGTCCTTCCACTCACTGGCCACTTCATTAGAAACAACTGCCTAGTATATTCACTAACTGGCCACTTTATTGGAAACACCTACTTTGTGCTTCCACTCACTGGCCACTTTATTGGAAACACCTACCTTGTGCTTCCACTAACTGGCCACTTTATTGGAAACACCTACTTTGTGCTCAACTCACTGGCCACTTTATTGGAAACAACTACATTGTGCTTGCACTCACTAGCCACTTTATTAGAAACACCGACCTTGTGCTTCCACTCACTGGCCACTTTATTAGAAACACGACCTTGTGCTTCCACTCACTGGCCACTTTATCAGAAACACGACCTTGTGCTTCCACTCACTGGCCACTTTATTGGAAACACCTACTTTGTGCTCAACTCAGTGGCCACTTTATTGGAAACAACTGCCTTGTGCTTGCACTCCCTGGCCACTTTATTAGAAACACCTACCTTGTACTTCCACTAACTGGCCACTTTATCAGAAACACCGACCTTGTGCTTCCACTCACTGGCCACTTTACTGAAAACACCAACAAACATCCAGCTAACCGCAGCTCTGTGGTCCACTGAAGTGGTCAGTAATCGCCATCACTGGAATTTCCATAGTAAACATATTACAGACTTCTGATCTGGTCTGTTGGCTCTAAATGTGTGTGTAGACTCACACATCTTGTGTGTGTGTATATATGTGGGTGGGTGAGGGGAGGGGAGGGGGGATGGATATATATCCATCGACCACATGGGTCAGCTTTAGTGAAATGAACCTAAAGCTGGTGCCTGAAGCCAACGGCAGAGTGTAAAACCCTTGGCATCATGCCAGACATGCAGGCCAAACATATGCCAACTGTGGGCTTTCAAATTAATTATCACAGACAAAACGGACAGACGGAAGGACAGGGACAGAGATACAGGCCATGAGATTTAGAACTGGACAGACAGAGTTTAGATGAGGACAGCACTTAGATGAGGACAGCACTTAAAGCCTTTCATCTTTGAGAGAGAGGAGAAAATCAAGCTGCTTCAGATCTGAAAACATCCACAGGTGTTTCTGTCCATCCTTCCACTGTGAGAAGACGACTCAGCGCTGTGGGTCTGAAAGGATGTGTAGCTGATCAAGAAGAACCTCACTGAGAAAAGGAGACGGACACATCAAACAAAGAAGCTGAACGATGGACTGACCACCCCAGAGTCCAGACCTCAACACCACTGAATGTGTTTGACTACTTCAGAAAATGATCAACCAGCTTCTAAGACTGAACTTTGGAGGTGTGTCTGCAGATTCTTTGAGGAACTGAAAGCGAGTCTCCTGAAAAGAACGTAAGCTGGAATGAAGGGAAAGAGTGACTCCCTGAACACTCAGACAGCTGATATTAGTTTTAGTGTAATATTCCTTTAAATTTGTCTCCTGCTTTTATTTCTGATGCTGAAAAATAAATAACTTGCACCTCTTTTCTCCTGCAGGGCTGAACGGTTCCAAGCACTGAGGGAAACTGTTCCTGTGGCTTTACCACATGGACACCGTTCGACACTGAACTCTAAAAATCTTCATCAGTACGATGACGACGTGGCTATTTGCTGATTGGTTCTAATATTATATCTGTATTGTACCACCGTGTGCTTCAACTAAATGGCCACTATATTGGAAACACCTGCCTTGTGCTTCCACTAACTGGCCACTTTATTGGAAACACTTACCTTGTGCTTCCACTAACTGGCCACTTTATTGGAAACACTTACCTTGTGCTTCCACTAACTGGCCACTGCATTGTGCCACCGCGTCCTCCTGCCTTAATCACAAACCCAAATCTGTCAAATAAGCTCATTTCGCTCATACGGACGCCAAATAAATGAATGATTTTAAATCCACCATTCAATACACGTTGAAGCTTCAATTTGACCTGATAACCAGGAGAAAGTAGCTGGTTAGCATTAGCTTAGCTCTGCTAAACGCTAAAGCTAATGCAGCTAGTTGTCCGGCTACAGGTGAAACCCACTGCAGTACAGGCTGTTTCAGTAACTGATGCACAAATAACGTTTAGGGTGAAGAATCTGAGAGCACACCGAGAGACTGGACTGGACAGATGGAATCAAACGCATTTTGCTTTGGATGCTGTTCGTGTAGCTATTAGCCTGTTAGCAGTTAGCCAATCTTTTGTGTAGTTTTATTCAGTATTTTCTGGTTCTGATTTAGTGGCACAGGTGGAAAAAGAAAGTGTAACCGGTCTCAATGGCACAGTACGGCCCTGAGAACCATTTGGCTCGATAGTGGAAAAGAAGCCTTGGGTAACTTAACGGCAGTTATGACAGGAAATGAAATGATTGAGTCTCTGTTTTTGATCAATGTTTGTTTCAACGGTGGCCTCCTTTTACAGCACCTCACTCGAATTCAGTCAGCTCTTTAGAATGACCCATTCTTTCACTAATGTTTATAAAGGCAGACTGCATGGCTAGCTGCTTGATTTTATACACCTGTGGCAATGAGACTGAATAAAACAGCTGAATTCACTGATTAAGAGGTGTGACCCAAAACTTTTGTCCATATTGTGTATGGAACACCACTTAAACCAACAACAGTAAACAGTCCCTTTCTTACAGAGGGCACATCTTTCCCATGAGCCCCTTTTTGCATGACACTTGAGAGCTCCAATGGGAGTAAACCCGACCCTAATCTTAACCTCAGGGACCAAAGAGGAATAGTTTTGGTCTTTCAGCATTAAAAACGACACTTTGTTGGTCCTGTATTGTTTTTTCTCACTTACAGAAGGAGCTGCTCTCGTCCCTTGTGCCGTCCATGGTGCCATCCGGCTGCATCTGAAGGTAGTAGCCGTGCTGGCTGTACAGTCGGGTGACGATGCCTTTCAGCTGAGGCTCTGTGAACACACACACATACGGTTACATACACACACATCCTCTGGAGAGCCGCCTCAGTGTGTACAGCGCAGCCTGGGTAACACAAGAGCTGTTTACTCTATTTACTGCTCTAACACTGTTCTCCATCTGTTTTTACTCTGTTCTCTTTAATAAAGAATTAACTGGATTTGTGAGGAAGGACGTGTTACAACAGATTACACGGCTTACCTGCACAGTGCTCCTTATTACTGTAAATCCTTTTACAGGGCTGTGGTTTACAGCACTACCTCCATTCCAGGTATTAATGTTAGACCTTGTTTAGAACAATATGCTCACATTTCTGATCAAACAAGCACGTTTTAATAGAAAAATAACACAAATTACATGAAGATGGAAATGACGTATGCATAGCCACACAACTCTGTAGATTTTCTGAGTGAAAATAAGTGACCACATCCTCTACAGTGAACTTCAATATCGGGACATTTACTGTTTAACATTTTGGAAAAAAAAGTAAAACATAATATATGTATAATATATAATATATATGTGCCAGAACATTTACACAGGTCACATTTTAAGCTTTAATTTTTTTTTCCCGATACGTGAAATTCAGCAAATAAACAGCAGACGTGCCTTAAAATTTCCCAAAGTTACTCTTGCACCATTTATACAGGAATGTTTACATCTAATCCAATGTTTCATCCAATATTTCAGACTGTGTGATAGTCAACATCCTTTGAATATTTGACAATTTTAACAGTTTTAAGCACTGAGTTTTTAGGTATCATGTGACCAAGCACCACCTAATATCCCATTAGTGTTTGTTTTTAGCCGTTTAGCTCCATTTACTCCCATTTATTGAGGACACGCTCTCAGGCGCCCTCTGCTGTTTTGCAGTCTGTTTTTGATATAACGGGGGAAATAAGAAGTGGCCAGGCTCCTCATAATCTGGCCCTGATATGGCCCTGTATCAGATTTCAGTGTGGGAATTTCCACTGGGGAATTAGGGAACTCCCTCGTCACACTCCCACGTGGCCCACCTAAGAGGGAGGATGTGTTCACACCCTGTCGATGCGCTGGAACAGTGTAAATGCAGCGTAATAAATCCAGGAAGAATATTCAGATAAATTTTTGAGGTAAACCTAATGTTATTCAAGTGAAACAAATGAAAACAAATGCATGCTAATCAGCTTAGTAGTTGAGCTAACCAGGGTAACACAGCTAGTTAGCTAGCAGTTGAAAGCAAGGATTAGGTCACAAATGTTGTTTTTAGCTGTAGTGCAGGTTTTATCACCATAAAATACATTTATCACCACAGTTTGTGCTGTTTTGTAAAAGAAAACATGGCACAAATCGGTCATTTCAAGCATTCTGCAACTCAAACTAGCAGCTTGCAGCAATAGGCTACATATAATTCACTTGTGGCTATTCAGGGCAGGTTTTTATCACCATTAAACAGGTTTATCACCACTTTTCATGCTCTCCAAAAGAAAATCTTGCCACTAAGTGCTCATTCAAATTCAAAAAAGTAATTCAAAAGTTACTTTCTAGCACACTTTGCAAATGAATAGATTATTCCTGTGTTTCATCTCAGCCAACGGTGAGCCCAGTTAAAATTACACATGCTCTAAATAAATTCATACATCTTGCAGGTAGGCTGGTCTAATTTAGTATCTTTATCCAGAGCACAGGTGGTTCGCCACAGCCTCAAGCAGCCTCCGAAAGCCTGAAGTCTATGACAAAAGCCAAGGATAAAGCTGGCCCTGGAAAGATCCTGCAGCCAGAGCCTTTTATAATATACCCCACTGCATTTTCCTGCATTATATAGGTTAGTACACTGTAGTGATCATTGTTGTGGGACTATATTGCTTAGAAAGTACAAGATAACTGTAACCTGTGTTACAGGTTGCTCCCCATCGAAATGAAAAGGCCTGTATCATACACTTATTATGACACTTATGTTGTTTTATAAACCAAAAACAGTATTTACTTACTGCTTGTCCAACCGTGGTTTCTGTAATATGTATACACTGATCAGGCATAACATTATGACCACCTCCTTGTTTCTATGCTCATTGTCCATTTTATCAGCTCCACTTACTGTATAGGTGCACTCTGTAGTTCTACAGTTACAGACTGTAGTCCATCTGTTTCTCTGATACTTTGTTAGCCCCCTTTTACCCTGTTCTTCAGTGGTCAGGACCCCCATAGACCCTCACAGAGCAGGTACTATTTAGGTGGTGGATCATTCTCAGCACTGCAGTAACACTGATGTGGTGGTGGTGTGTTAGTGTGTGTTGCGCTGGTCTGAGTGGATCAGACACAGCAGTGCTGCTGGAGTTTTTAAACACCTCAGTGTCACTGCTGGACTGAGAATAGTCCACCAACCAAAAATATCCAGCCAACGGCGTCCTGTGGGCAGCATCCTGTGACCACTGATGAAGGACTAGAGGATGACCAACACAAACTGTGCAGCAGCAGATGAGCTATCGTCTCTGACTTTACATCTACAAGGTGGACTGACAAGGTAGGAGTGTCTAATAGAGTGGACAGTGAGGGGACACAGTGTTTAAAAACTCCAGCAGCACTGCTGTGTCTGATCCACTCGCACCAGCGCAACACACTCTAATACACTACCATCACTTCAGTGTTACTGCAGTGCTGAGAATGATCCACCACCCAAATAGTACCTGTTCTGTGAGGGTCTCTATGGGGGTCCTGACCACTGAAGAACAGGGTAAAAGGGGGCTAACAAAGTATCAGAGAAACAGAAGTCAATGGTTTTACGTAGAACCCCAACAACACAAAGAACTATTTTAATGCATAAATGGTTCTTTTCCTTGTGAAGTGGTTCTTCGATATGATAGAAAGTGTTGCATAGTGTTCTGTAAATGGTACTAAGTAGCGCCTGAAAGGGTTCTGCCATCAGCATAAAAGTCAAAGAACCTTTCGGTACTTTATACAATACTGGCAATGGTATAATAATGGTACTTTATGCTAATAGTCCACTTTAACAATGCAATATTATTTTGAAAAAACAAACAAAATTGATGATCCATAATTTGGGCCCTTTAAATACACTTCATTCAAACATCTTTATTTTTAGAGAGGCTTTGGGTCAGTGAAGGACTAAACAGAGTGAAAGAACGTCTGCTCTATAAAAGATGTATTAGCGTTGCACGTTTATTTGTGACGGGGGAACAGAAGGAGAACGGAGGCTGAATGTTTTATGAGTTGTGTCCCTCCGGGCTACTTTATGTTCATTTGAGAAAGGAAGAGGAAGAAGAGCATAAACGGCCTTTTCCATTCAGCCTGTGCTGTGATTTCTACATCTACGACCTCACGCTGTGCCTGACTGCAACCTCTGTGAAAGGTTAGTGGAGGACTTTTATACAGGGACCCACAATCACTCAGTGAAAAGTAGTGCAGTGAGTGTGTACATCATTTCCACACAAACAAAATATCGCTGTTGTCAGAAGAATTGTTGTCAGACCTCGTATCTCCACTTTTGACATTTTTCAGTTTTTGACATTATTTGAAAAATCTTGTTACCCTTTACATTGTGTGTAAATTTCATGATGAATGGACTAAACGAAACGACCCAAAATGACTTGGAAAGATGTCTGGTTCCATTGACTTACATTAAAAGTAAAGTAGGTTTTTTCCTTCTCCTGTAAAGTTACCATTTTGGAGATACGAGGTTTTCTTCTGACAACAGCGATATGCTAAATCAATTCAGAGGTGTCTTGTACTTTTGGTAAAACATGTGTGGATGTAATATAGTTTAGTCATGTGGAAATGGCTAAAGTTAAGTCAATTCAATGCAGGACTTTTATTACAGAATCAGAATCTACACACAAGAATTTAAAGGTTTAAAAGTGAAAAAATGTGGTTTCAATAATTCAATAATAAAACTTTAGTTGGAGATAAATGTATTAAGCGGTTCTAATATGCTAGTCCTGTACAACTTCACAGGTTTCAAATAATTAGTGAGGAGCTGTAAAAAACAGGGGTGTCACTAGGTTAGGTTTAGGGGGTTTTAGCCCCCCCACCCCCCAGATATTTATAGCAGATGCTAAATAATTCATAGTAGATACTGTACAATTCATAGTAGATACTGAATAATTCATAGTAGTTACTGAATAATTTAGAGTAGATACTGAATAATTCATAGTAGATACTGAATAATTCATAGTAGATATTGAACAATTCATAGTAGATACTGAATAATTCATAGTAGATACTGAACAAATCATAGTAGGTACTGAACAATTCATAGTAGGTACTGAACAATTCATAGTAGATACTGAATAATTCATAGTAGATACTGAATAATTTATAGTAGATACTGAACAATTCATAGTAGATACTCAATAATTTAGAGTAGATACTGAATAATTCATAGTAGATATTGAATAATTCATAGTAGATACTGAATAATTTACAGTAGATACTGAATAATTCATAGTAGATACTGAACAATTCATAGTAGATACTGAATAATTCATAGTAGACACTGAATAATTCATAGTAGATACTGAACAATTCATAGTAGATACTGAACAATTCATAGTAGATACTGAATAATTTAGAGTAGATACTGAATAATTCATAGTAGATACTGAACAATTCATAGTAGGTACTGGACAACTGAAAGTGGATACTGAACAACTGAAAGTGGATACTGAATTATTGAAAGTAGATACTGAATAATTCAAAGTAGTTACTGAATAACTGAAAGTAGACACTAAATATTTGAAAGAATATTCTGAATAACAATGTACATACTGAAAATTTCATATTAGTTTTTAAATAATTCACTGTAGATACTGAATAATTCATAGTAGATACTGAATAATTCATAGTAGTTACTGAATAATTCATAGTAGATACTGAATAATTCATAGTAGATACTGAATAATTCACTGTAGATGCTGAATAATTCATACTGGATACTGAACAATTCATAGTAGTTACTGAATAATTCATAGTAGATACTGAATAATTCATAGTAGAT